TTCTAACACTGCCAAGTATGCATTCATTGCAGAACATGGGCTAATATTAGGCAGTGTGGGGAATACAGTGTAGCATGACTAAATGTGTTATATGCACATTACACACCGCAGGAGCCACATAAACAAATGAATAATTACCAACCCTTGAATCAAACCTTGTTTTTCTCCTTTCAAAATTCAAGAATCGATACTTGTTGCATACGTATGAGATTCTACTCATATTTATACCTGCAGAACAGTCAGTTTTCCCTCAATACTTGTTGAAATAGCAGAATCTACTGATAATCTGTAATTGATACATGATATGTATCCGGCATGTGCTTTGATTGATCTATTGTTACTGTATCTTCCTACTGATGTAAATTACTAATAATCAACTAGCCCTAGTAACTTACCATACTAGAATCGCTTCTGCTGAGAATCAGAAATGCATGGCTATTTGGTATCACTGTAGGTTTCTCTTCTTCTATGTCTTCCTCACCATCACTACCATCCTTCTTCTGAAATACAATTTAGCATATTTAGCAAATAATAGCATGATCATAATATGGTGAACAGCAATGGGTGTATAAAATACTAGAGACACCATTTCCGATAAAAATAACAATTCGATACATATCAGTGTTGAAACATCAACTTGCAACTACGGCATCGCTTGTGCTCATCTGATATGCCCTGGTAACTTTAAATTTACTTGGTCAAATTAAAAAAAAATCACCTGCACAATGTCTTTCTCGGGAGTTTGAGGTCCAACCACAGTCCACATGTCATAGCAGCCAGGCAATTCAAATGTCGTCACAACCTGGGGCCGGATTGTTCTCTACAGAAGTGAACACACTAGTTATATACGACAGTGCAAGTGCAACTACTTCGTCATTCATTTATGCCCTGCTATAAATCTTATATACAGATACTGAAAGTTAATTGCCTTAACTAAGTGCATAAGATATGCTAGCATTGGTTTTGAACTAAGGCTACACTAACCAACTCATAGGTACTACTAACTCACCTTAGATGTCGCCCAACATTTTATGATGTAAATACAAAGTATGTCCATGAGGTATAAAATTCGTTTTCAAATACCCTTCTGTCAGCTCTCAGATAATTAAACTTAAATCAACCAAACATTCTCGTGATAGTTAATAATAATTCACAAAGAGCATAGAAAGCTCACATCACAGTAATGTAGGTTAAAAATCAACTCAAATATTGGTAATGACCTGGTACCAATAAGCAGTCAAAGCACACTATAGGCCACTCCAAGAGTCCAGGGCCGGACTGGGAAAAACATTCAGGCCACGAAATATAGCGTGAAATATAGCCCCAGTCAGGCCACTTTTTAAGCGGGGGGTCTGGTGGTCCCAGGACTCCCCCACCAGGAAAATTGTTCTTACAAAGACTTCATTCCATGCATTCTGGTGAATTTTAGTGCATGTGAATCACAAACTAATGAGCCAACAACTGCTTAAGGTACAGCCCCACCTTACTCCGCCCCCACCTAGAATAATATGGCCTGAAGGCCGTATAGAAATAGCCTGCAGGCCGCAGATTTAAAAAAAATATATATATAATATGGCCTGAAGGCCGCAGATTTATTTATTTTTTAAATAATTTTTTTGGGGCAGCTATGACACTTAGCAGGCCAGGCCACCGGGAAAACTCCCGGTGCTCCCGATCGCCAGTCCGGCCCTGGGCCACTCACCTGTAGTATAGACAGAGCTCCGTTTTTTCCATGCCCAGATGTCGTGACCAGCTCTATGTCGGGGTCCAGTGAATTTTGGAACTCTTCAGAGAGAAATGCTGGCTCTCCCATACTCACCCAACCACATGGACAGATGTTCAGGATGCTGTCACATACCTGCACATGAGGAGAAAATTAATCGCTGCCATCTGTAACTCCCATTGATGGACAGTTCCGTGCTTTATGATAGCTTTCCAAAACCATTATTAAGATAGCAACGTCATGCAAGTCATGTGACAATATGACGTCATCATGCATAGAAATGCAGCATTTCATTATGATCTGGTGTCCATCCATCATAGTGAATGCCATTATTTTATAATTGTTTTGAAAAATTATTTACGCCACAGGTTAGGCAAGTCCAGCAACTGGAAATGAGGCAAACTGTTTCTTAATTAATTTTGTTGTTTAATAATAAGCTGCCTTTTCTTTATCATTCTCCTTTGCACTAAACTACGTACACATGTATGCAACTTCCAAAATACTTCATCACGCACATGAAAACTTCTTGCTTGGCAAACGCATCAAAAACATGCATGTTTGTAAAACCTTGTTTTGTATCATGTAATTTAAATGTTATATGGTCTGTACCATGTAAATTCATAGGTTGCTAGTGCAGTGTATATCATGGGGTTGGGTGTAATACACATGCGGCATGCAAACGGTTGTTGTATGAATTAGTGGTGGCAGAAGAAAGCCAAGGGTAAGGCCACATGGGTGTATGAACACAGCAATTACAGGTCATGCCATTCGCAGATGAGCACATATGTAGCTAAGGACTGCTGTTTATTACTGTTTATTTGTTGCGCGCAAGAACACGTCACATCTCCGCCTGCCCAGACCTGCTTCAACTTCGATACGAATACGGATTACATCAGCATGTTTACGTGTAAATTTAGCAACAAAGTAGGGCAGAGCGGATAGTCGTATACATGGCATTATTTATCCACACATCGCATATGAACCCTTCTGGCAATTTGTCTCAACTCTGCGGGGGAATCCCGAATGTCGGGATTACACCAACCGGTGCATTTACATCTCATCTATTACTGGTTATACACCCAAGCGATGCTTTGCTACAGCCAGTGTACGTACACATTCGTACGCTATATATAGCATCCTCCTTATACACATATTACTGCCTCTCAAGTATGTGTACATTTACCAAGGTGTGAAGCCAATGATTATGGCTGGGCTCACTCTCGTCTAACATCACAAAACGTATATATTTGTTGGTTCTGTTATAAATGGTGTACTTGTTCATATAACAGGAATGAGAATGACCCAAGGAAAAAACACTGAGAGTATCATGCAACCACTGAATGTCAGTGCCGAAGGCATGTACAATACGCAAGCTACAGATGGCAAATAAATTAGCCTATTTTACACATCCGCCCACCTAAATATCCCTGAACAGGCTTAATTCAAACTATACGTTTATACGAATGGCCCAAATCTGAATTAGGTAGGCTATTTACCTCAAACGAATACTGTGATAGCTGGGTACCCGTCTGCATAGCTGCTTCACCATACACCTCCAGCTCCTCTGGGTCTTGTACTTCTGCGACATCAGATGCTACATGGCAAAAGAAAACAAATCCAACCTGCTAATTCAGTCCGTGTAGCAGGTTCTGCGTTCATGCAAAAGACAACAATAAACTGAATACGTAACATACTAATTAAACACATCTAAAGGACAACACTGTGAAGGGTGATAGCTTTAGCAGTTTCAGACAATTAATAGAACCCCCAACCAGCCCAACATTATACACCGTACTAAGGCTCATAGGGTCTATGTCCCCCAGGGTACTGCCGGAACATACCCTGGTACTATCTAATAACCCGGACCGTACCTCGCCTACTCCACTAACGAGTCTAGGGAGTCGCCTACGCCTACTCCCTAACCCGAACCATATCAAATAGTTACCAGGGTACCCACCGGTATACCGGACCGTACCCAGGGTACGTTCCGGCAGTATACCCTGGGAGACATAGACCCTATGAGCCGTACTAAGTGTATAGAACAAAAGAAATTTACCCATCCAATCGCCCATGGTATCAAGTCGTTTCCTCTTAGATGGGTTTTCCTGAAAATAAAATAAGCCATGAAATTCTAATTTTATCTACAAATGAAAAAGTCTGCTTTAAAGGTTTAATATCAAAATAACAACAGTGTGATCTCTGTTGCTATAATTTGTTACTTATTTGACTAGTAGGAATCAGGAGTGAGAAGTTGTTACTGTAGCATGATGTAGGTAGTGCCTAGGTTTCCTTTGCCTATTAGATGTAAAATGAGGCCAATAACATTATTTGTGCTGGAAGTAGGAGATTTCAACATAAATAGAATAGTATAGATTCCAGTATAAATAGTACACAAACACGAACTTTTATGTGTCAAATATTCCATGCATGCTGCTATTGTGCTATAATAGTATATCATTGCAATAGTAACGATGTAAGTACCACGGTACACCAACATAAATTTAGATTTTTTCATTATTACTAGTCAAAACTGAGACAAGTACAAAAGATAAATTAAGAACCCCACAACAAATCATTTCTTTTAGCTAACTTACAGCCAGCTTTTTTGTATCGCTGTCAGACCGCTTTGGCTCAACTAAATTATCAGGCAACTTCTCAGTGTACTTCAAGAGAAGAGAATTTCCAACTCTGGAGCCGAGGAATAGGTAACCATTCTCTAACGTGCAAATCTGAAACAAAGAGAGGGCAAAAACACATTTTGATAAACACAACTTATGATAACCCTTCAACCAGATTTACTCTCTAATTGTAATCAAACTTCGAGATTCTCATATGGCCTGACAATTAACTGATGCACTCGCGTAACAAACAACTAATAAACATGCAGCAATGTTGCTCGCAAAGTTCTTCTGGGCAGTGATCTCCGCACAAACTCACACACGTCGTCAGGACGCTTGACGCAGCTTTGTCAAAGTGAAAGCCTCGCACGCTTCTCATCCCATCGGCAAGAAGTGTCAGCACATATCTGCGGAGAGCAATGCACGGCTGCTGTGATACAAGCATGCACGCATTGCATTGCACTGGCAAGTCTCAACACCCAAACATTTTACACAAGCAACTGCAACTCAAGGCATTAAAATGAAATGACAATAGTCTCACTCAGATAATATATGTAATGAAAAGCGACATCAAGGAGCTTTAAAGGCCTTAATCGCAAATAAGTGCATTTTCATGCAATGTTGGTAGTATGCTAGAATTACCAGAAACCTTACTATTCTATCATAAACATGCAGTCAACTTCATGTATATTAATGACTTGGCATTGACATATAAAAAGATCAGATCAACAAGCATAGATCACCAGCAAATCTATAGCTGTAAAAATGTAGTTACATAACCTATTGTAGTTGCTTACAAAGTTAGATAATGATCTGTCTGCTGACATATGGTCATTGCCAGTCAAGTAATGTCCACTGAATTCAAGTGTTCATAGAAAAGTGCACTTAATTATGCGCATTACAACCACTTACAGCTCGCCACCTTTTAACGAGATGACTAGTCTGTCAAATGCAGCAAAGGATGCCTGTGCACAGTCTAGAGAGATTTTCACTCCTTCTTGTATTTCTGCAAAACAAAATCACACAACATCAGCGCTCTCTCAAAAAATTTACAAACAAGAAAAGATGGCAATGCTTGAATCTTTGCATAGCTAAACAACTGTGGTAAGTAGTGAAATTCAAGGGACAATTCCAAACCCTATGTCTGAAATCTCTGTTTACTTGACTAGCTATCAATGTTTTCAATCTTCATACAGTATTAATACTAATTCAGGGTGCCACAAGGAATATAATTATATGACAATTAGATATGGAGCTAGAACAGTACCACAGAGATCATCCCATTTAGAGATGAACTAATTTGTACAAGCAACCTAGGCAACTCACTCAGTGGAAATGCTGTACTGTTGTCTGAGAATCCGTTGAGAGAGACACCCAGTGGGGGAAAGCTTTGGTTGAGGTAAAGAAGAGAGTTGGCAGCAAACACCAATGCTCCACCTGCAGCAAATTAATGATTAAACACAGGTTGAAACCCCGTTAAGCTAACTAAATTTGCCGAGTTACCAAATAAACATCACTACTTGAAGTTGACGATGTTAAAAATTACGAGCGCATTGCAACTAACATGGCCGTGCAGATATGCCACACGATATTAGCCACTGCGAAACATGTAATTCTCACAATATTAGCAACTTGAACTCACGTCACTATGGATCACAAAAGCAGTATTGACAACATCTTTCAAATGAAACCAGCTGGCTCATGCTCTTTTCATTGGCTATAAAATAGTACAAAAGTCACGACTGTTCTGCCATACCAATTGGTTTTGGCACAGTCATAGCCTGCAGACAGTCAAATGGAAGGTTGCTGATGGACCAGATGATGGGATGCACTTTCTCTCTGATGTTTAGTGATATCGCCACAATGCTACAGGAGTCTATCCTGGCAGCAACACGTCTGAAACAGTGCACCAATATAAACACGTGATTACCTCACCAAAGATCAGCATCAAACGTATGCACACTAATATGTTGGTAGTTCACTGGCCCCATGTGCTCGCCTCGCATGTGGAAGGTCGGGGGTTCGACTCCCGGCTAGATCATACCAAAGACTCGAAGAATGGTACACAGTGCTTCTCTGCTTAGCATTAGAGCAAATAGAGATAGACTGTGGTGAGTTAACTCGCAGTGCTACCAGTGGACTAACCCCCTACTGTAGCATTTACTGTGAAAGCAGCTGCGTGGCCTCGGGTTAAGGAAACAGAGATACGCACTGCCCTATGCACCACATAGGCACAGGAAGGATTTTTAAACAAAAGTAACACTGGCTTCAAAAGACAATGTCAAAAAAAATGTGTCTTTTTTGTGTGCAATACATATTGTGTGGGTCGATCACGCAGGAAAAATTATATTTCCTGTCGATTCAGGGGGTATACAGTTTTATTACTATAAGATATACCTATTTTAAATGTATTTTTGCACGAAATCAAACACATTTCATTCATGAAATTATATAATTTGTATAATGGTAAAGACATAGACTATTATAATCTACTTTATCGCTGCTTTTGGTGTGATATTGCCTAATAACACTCTCCAGTAAACATCTTGCCTGATTTTTAATAAAAATTGCACTTAATAAATACTAAATATTTACTACATATGTAATCTAGAGACATCCATTCTATACAGAACTGCATATATCTTACCCTGCCCATGTCTGCATGGGTTCATACAGAATGAAGAGCGTTGGTTCGTAGTAGCCATGCAAGAATTGAAGGTCGATGATGTTGGTGATGCACTCATCCAGACGATGCATGTCTATCATATATGATGACATGACCGGCAATTTACTGTAAGTGTAAGTAATAACATGCTGCACATCAGCCTCACATGTAAGCCTTTTAGAATCATACTCCACACATTATATTTCAGAACTCTGCAACACAGCAGGGTTCTCTCCAGGTCTATGATGCATGTTGGCTCCGACACACCTTAGATGCTGAAGCTAACATGCGGCATCACATAAATCCTCCAACATACCTTAGTTACTTAATTGACGTACCTTCATTTCCAGCTGTGCTTACATTATATAGATATGTGATACAGAGACACACAACAGGTTATTAACAATCTGGGATGAACTCCCCAGAACTTCTCGAGTGCCTGACATTTTTTATGAAATTCCTGGGTAGAACCCGGCACACGCACATATAAACTAGTATTATACTATGACAAAACCCTCTTACAATGTAGAATATTGGAGGCATGAAAACTGGGCAGAAATACCACAATAATGTGCGATAAAAAAAGCCTGTACACGCACCCAGCTCCAGTGTTCGATTCGATCTCTTCTACAACTCCCTCCTTCCGGAATGGAAGTACAACGAGCCTCGTTCCATAAATAAGCATCACTGCACATCTCCCATCTGGATCCACGCGCACGTTTGGACGATTGTAGTTAGTGATGAACCCATCCTACAATCACAATTACTGAAATTATTGAAATGAAATGGCCATTGGCCACTTTTGCATCCTGTATGCAAGTATATTAGACAGTCAACTATGTTTTCTCAGACCTCTATAGAATGTACATCTGTCTATATAGAGATATTTTTGCATTTCCCCTGAGCATCAGCTATACAGCAAAAGCAAGTCTACAGAATGGACATCTTTCTCTATAGGAAATCTTTGGGTTTCCTATGAGTGACACACATATACACGTTTAACAGTATACTTATGCTTCTCTTTCCCACCTAACATTGAAACATTTTATGATTAATTTAGTTCGAGTAAGGTTCAGATGCGAACTATAAAAAGAACGACAATCACTGTAGGCAGAATTAAGAATATAACATTTAAAGTACAAAACATAGGTTATACAAACCTTCACGTCTTCATCTTCAAAGAAATGCAGAGATAATGTTTTCAAACCATTGGTGGATGGATCATACTCAACAATGGATAACTGAAAGAAAACAATAACAGACAAAATGCAAATAGCTATTATTATCAGTTTTCATACATTATATGAACAGAGGTCAGAAAGAATTCCTTGGTGAAGATCTACACCCGTACATATGGAGGCACTCACGCACGCACGCACGCACGCACGCACGCACGCACGCACGCACACATATATATATACACACACATGTAAGCAAGTACCCACAGGCATAACTAATCATAACTTGCCCATCATAATCATTTTTGGATACTGATGGTTTCCACGCAGTCTGTCTAGAAATTATATTTAAACTCAATTCCCTTTATACTGTGGCAGTTATAGCACATAATAACACCTCAATAAACATTTTAAAGCACACCTTTGCATCCTTGAAACTGAGCATGAGTGAATCCCTACACGAGCCAGACAGATTCACGCTCCGGATAGACTGCACAACGCCAAACAGCTGGTACGTCGCCAAGCATTCAAGCTTCATCCTCTTCGATTCTGCGAGCGTTTTCTCTGCTGATGAGGACTTTGCCTCAGTGGCTGAAATTTGCACCAGCAGCTACTTTTAGCTCGAGTAGTTAATTTTGTACTAACTGGACATTAGAATAGACATGAGACAATCAATAGTGAGCATACTGTTTAAAAATATAGCTAGTACTGAGATTCATGATGTTATTGTTGATGGGCTGTTGCATGGGCAGTATGTTACATTACAAGTAAGCATCAAACCATATCTGATGAAGATCAATCTAAAAAAATTGCTTATAAATTATATAACGACATAAAAAGCCATCTTCCACTAAGTACTGTGAAACAACAGATTTACATTGGAACAGTAAATACAGGTTTACACAAAAAATTTTACAATTATACCTACCAAGAATCAAACGATACACAGATAGCTGGTTCGCCCCTGCCACCACTAGGTTATACTGGTCCATGTTATAGAAATGACAGTGAATGGAATGTTCTATCCCAGTAGGGGGATGCAACTCCTTGTACATCGCGTACATTGTTTCCGGTTATCAGTGAACTCCCAATTCACGTACCTGAAATCAAAATACAGGTAAGAATTATCCATTGGATCATATCAGAGAATAACAATAGAGAACCTTATACTCAGGGGTCGAATTAGCCGCTAGCCCGCTAGCCCGGGACTAGTAATTGTTTGGAAGGGCTAGTTAAAGGCCAGGCTGGCTTGCCCGTCTGGCAAGTAAACAATTCCAGACCAGATTTCGTATTAATTCAGCCCGTTTTCGGATATATCAGTGTATGATTAATGGGAATTTAATTGCGGTTTGTCAGCATTCAAATTCAGTCCACAATACCCTCAGAAAGCATCTCGGAGCATTCGTGAGATCAACAATTTTCCCGCGCAACCACTATCGACATCATACTTTTAAGGGCTAGTTGAAAACCAGAAGGGCTAGTACAAACCTTACCTTACTAGCCCTTCGGGCTAACTTGCATATTGTCCTTATTTCTACCCCTGTATACTTGTTAATAATTACCTTGCCTCATTACGTATATTAATCAATTAAAAATGGCAGAACACATTATGCATTATAAATATCAATCCAGGGTTATTCTCATGAATTTCAGAAAGCAAGTCGTTTAAGGATGAATGGGGCGGGCCAGGAGGGGCCCAGGGTTAGACGAATTAGTTAATTACATGTTATAAGTGACCCCTGGTGGCACAATCTACATTTGGCCATCCTACTAGAGGTCCAGAATCCTTTATCAAAAACCTTTGGGCCCAATGTGGACTTGGAATTCATTATTTTTCGGATTTTTGTCATTTCAGAAAGCTAGTACGATATGCATGTACAACACATTACACAAGGGGTGAATAATGACAAATTCAATTTGTATTTATATTCACACATTGTATTCATATTCACACCGAGTGGGGTAAATAAAGATTGAAGTGTCATAATAAAGGTGTAAGAAGGGGGCCTTTGGTTCAAGGATATAAGAGCTGTCCCCAATTCATTTTTGCAATGTGCCACATGCAAAAGTGCAAATGTTGACAGCTCGTATAGCCTTGGGCCCTATGTTTTTGGTAGGACTAGGAGCCTTTTTTTTGTAGTTTACAGCATTCACATGGAATTATTACTGATAATAGAGTACATTAATTCTATACATGCAGACGAGTAGTAAATACCATTTGTGTTTATTTACTATCATTTATTATTGTGAATCTTGAGACAGTTCAAGTGTTTGTGAGTCCGATTGGTTGTTTGGTTGTGGAAGTAACACTTGGGGAATCTGTAGGCCATTATGGTTTTCATTGTTTATTGCAGAGTGGGGTGTTTGATTGTATTTTGGTAGTATCAATTGTGGTATTAGTTTGGCACAGCATTAAAAGTAAACTGTAATACTATATATATCCTAATGACTATGGCTATGACTATGACTATGAGTATGACTATGACAGTATGAGTAGTGAGGGTGCAAATCCACTGTGTATCACAAGCTGTGTATTTCTGTGTGATTCTGTGTATTCTGTGGATTTCTGTGTATCATCAACTGATGCACAGACTTTCCGTATATCAAGGAATGATCATTGATGCAAAAGCCCTAACCCTAACCATAACCCTAACACACTTTGTGATACCTAAGGGCTAAGGCTAAGGAGTAAGGTTACCTGGTGTACTTTATGACTTAGGGTTAGGGTTAGGGTTTTTGCATCATTCCTTGATATACGGAAAGTCTGTGCATCAGTTGATGATACACAGAAATCTGTGCATCACTTCGTGATACCTAAGCCTAAGGTGCCTAAAGTGGATTTGCGCCAGTATGGAGTAGGGCTAGCTCTAGTACTATAGCCGTACTATAGCTGCGTGGCCTGCGGCAGCTATCCGCAGGCTATAGTATTAGAGCTAGGAGTAGGGTAGATACAATAATGTAACCCAAACCCAGGAGAGGGTTACAACGCTTCCCTATGGTTTTCTGTGGAGGAAATTCAGGGAACCCCAGAGTGAATCACTCAGGGCGGTTTGCTGGTGCGTTTTCAGAGACTAGAACTTCCAAACTGGGTTTATTCTCAACACAAACCTTTCTCCGCTATCTTGGAACCAGGGAAAAAATAAAAATAAATTTTTCGGGGGCTACTTTTCAAGCCCGCGTGCATGAAAATAGCACTCTAAAATTTGGTTTGCATTGAACTCTATGCAAAATTACAGGGGCTCTTTTTGGCATTTCGGGGGCTAAATCGCCCCGAGCCCCCGTGTATTTTTTTCACTGCTTGGAACTTACTATGTATCACAATACTCTGTATTAAACTAATATAACCTGTTACAAAAATTCGAAAAGACGAGCGGCGAATATACTGAGCGCCATTTCTGTTGACCTTGACCTGTGACGTATTTCGGTTTGAAGAGCGGATTCACCGACCAATCGGAGGGCGCTGCATTTGCCGATCGCTATGCGCATTGGGAATGCGTACGTCACAGGTCAACAGAAATGGCGCTCGAAATATCCGACGCTCGTCACTTCGAATTTTTGTAACAGGTTATATTAGTTTAATACAGAGTATTGTGATACATAGTAAGTTCCAAGATAGCGGAGAAAGATTCGTGTTGAGAATAAACCCAGTTTGGAAGTTCTAGTCTCTGAAAACGCACCAGAAAACCGCCCTGAGTGATTCACTCAGGGGTTCCCTGAATTTCCTCCACAGAAAACCATAGCGACGCGTTGTAACTTGTAACCCTATCCTGGGTTTGGGTTACATTATTGTATCTAAGAGTAGGCCGGGCCTAGTGTAGCTCTAGTAACTATAGCCCGCGTACAGTTGCCGCAGGATTTGTCTGCGGCAGGTTTTGTCTGCGGCAACTGTACGCGGGCTATATAGTTACTAGAGCTAGGCCTAGTGTAAACCGACCAGGCTCTCCGACTGTTACACGACGGAGGAACGCCACGTAGTGTTAAGCAAAGTGTTAAGCGAGATGGGAACTTGTGGCTAGGCCTAGTGTAGTGACAGTGACAGTCACAGTGTATAGACTATAGTATAGGGGCCTACTCTAACTCCCCCTTCGCTCCCGCTAGCGTCTGCCTACCCTGTACTGTAGCGGAAGCGAATGGGCTACAGCGGTATATACTAAGATGGTACTAGTAGTAGTAGTACATGCAGAGTTTCTTCTTCAACTACAAGATCAATTCCTATTGACATGTGTTGATCAAGTTTTTCAGTTACACTACGTTTTGCGTGCTGTACCTCACAGGATGCTCTAAGTAAACATAAGAGTACGAAACATAAAGCGGATGTCTTAACACACGCTTTCAGTCGCTATGGATTCTGGGATAAAGTTGATCAAGCAAAAAACCTACACTACAGAATACCGCGTCCGGTGTCCTTGCTCCTGGATAAGGTGCCTAGGGTCGCCTGTTCCCATGTATAATTACACCTACAAGATATGTCAATTACCATTCGAGTATGGTTTTAAGTATAATATTGCTCGCTACAGAAGATTGGCATTCAGTCTGGCTTGATGAAGCCTGTTCGTTGCGTTCGATCATCTGAGCGTGATCATGCTATTACTTTCGACACGTGCCATCTTCAAAGGATCCCTTTAAGTTTAGCCTCTTTGTCTCTGTCATTCCGTATTGGAATTAATTTCCTTCCTCTTTAGTTATGCTGCGTTTACACTGTGATCCCGGCGGCCACGGCAGCCCCGTTTCAGGCCACCGTGGACAAAACGGGATGAACGTGAGACAACGCGGGGGGGGGGCGGAATGGGCAAACGTGACAGGCCGTGATTGCCGTGGATGCTGCGCCAAATTATTAATTTGTCAAAAGATTTGCCATGGCAGTCACGGTGCGGATGAGAAACGTAGTAGACCGTAGTAAAACGGGGTGAACGCAACAAAACGTGACAGTACGTAATGGGCCGTAACAAAACTTGGAGGCGGTCCGTAGTGGGACGGGAAGGGGCGGACGGGACAGGACGGGTTCGGCCCGGCGCGCTACGGCGCGTTGCGTTCTACTACGGACTGACACGGCGCGCGCGGTCTTAAAACTGGACTAAAACTAAAAGTAAAACTAAAATGTTGAGAAGTGGCCCAGCTGCTGCCTTCTGTCTTCCGATAACCATTCGCGCACCCACATGGATCTTGGTCTTCTCATCTGCCTTCTTCGCCTTCTTCCTGACTGCTACACTCTGGCCTTCCCTCTCTGCAACTGCTGCTGGCTTTCTTCTTGCTGATGCAAAGACTGGATGTATGCACCCAGCAAACATGCAAACACAAAATCTTCTTCATCTTGGGCATTCATGATGTTGTCTCGTCGAAATCTCAGGATACAATGATTGCTATTGCTTGGGAGGCCTTCTTTTTATACCGTGGGCACAAACGTGCTCCAAAGCTGCCCGGCGTCCACGTTTCATCCGTAGAAAGCCTTGACAGAACGTAAAAAACGTGTCAGACCTTGATCAGATCGTGAGAAACGTGAGGGACCCCATCAGAACGTGACGGGCCGGGAGGGAACGTACTGGCATCCGTGGTAGACCGCGGACCGAACCGTAGTGCGCCTTGGACACTCCGGGACTCAGCAGCTCCTTCCCCCCACGGCCCGTCACGGATACCGTGATAGACCGTGAGAAAACTTGGCAAGACCTAACAAAACTTGAATACAGAGAAAAAAATTGCCATAATCCCACGGCGCACTACGTTTCGGGCAAACGAGGCTGCCGTGGCCGCCGGGAACACAGTGTAAACGCAGCATTAGTTGCAAACTTGAGGCCGTTTCTACTGCGATCCGCAGTATTGATCCGTCTATTTAATCATTTTGTCTCTTTCCGTCTTCGATATAGTCCCTTGGAGAAGACTAATATATTTACGATGTTTCGAGATTACGAGGCTTTCCTACGCACATAAGGCTTGCATTTCTTCATCAATGAGTTATTATTGATTGCCCGAAATCTAGCAGTGATGTTCATATAAGAATTCAATGCGAAGAATATGTTATTCTACACGAAGCGAGGACATACTAAGCTGATGCAAAGAGGTGTAACTGCATGATAAATGTATATATACGGACAACTTTGGCGCTGTCAGCTCATGATCACCATTCAGCTACAAGAGTAGAAGTCTGGCGAGTCAAAGTCACGCCCGCACACCGTAACAACGCCTGACGAGAGGGATTTTTCGTTCGTGTTTTCGTTCGTGCGTTCGTGTTTTCGTTCGTGCGTTCGTGTGCAATCGTCGTGTCGTTGCGTCAACGCCATGTAGTAGGAGCCAATATTATTGGATCGCCGTTTTCTATAATGTTCCATAAATACATGCCATTCTTCATATACAGACTTACACAGACTTACAATATTCTGCAATTTGAATATAAGAAGGCGAAGTCGTGGTTGAAACCCGTATCCCCATGCAGTAACAACACGACCAGCGAACAGAACCGCTAGGCGACGCGACGCAACGCAAACAGATAAGACCATAGATATGCCATAAACCCATAGGGTTTATGGCATTTTTATGCCATAAATCCATAGGTTTTATGGGATATCTATGGATAAGACAAGAACTAAATAAACTGAGTAAACGTGTGTATTATCACACACGAAGGGCGTACGTGCACGCACGTATAGGCCTACATGCATTTCTGCACGTACGTGCACCGATCTGATAGGCCTATATTACGTAGTATGATTTTATATTAAGCAGTGTCCGCATGGCAACCATAGAAATAATACGAGTTGCGAGTATTCCAATAACCGTCGGTATTCCAATAAACTAATTATTGTAATAACTGGTAATTTCAACCGCACATGTCAGATGTGACCCCTCCCCGTCCGGGAAATACTCGCAACTCGTTGGATCGAGAACGGTCTAGATATATGTAAAATATTTTCAGTTGCTCGATAGATATCTGTGGCCCTGCATGCGCTAGTCGCGCAAAAAAAATGCGCCGATTTATCTGTACAGATAATATATTATAAGATATATCACTAGATCAGCAGTTATATACAGCTGGCTTTCCAGACGCCCCGCCTCTATTTCCCATAAACGCAGGAATTCAAATGACGGGTCAACCACCTTACATAAATTTGGGGGCTATATACGCCTTTAATATAGATGAACTGTATAATGCTTGATAAAGAAATTAATTTGGAACAAAATTGACGTTCAAAATAAATGGAAAAAAATCATCAGATTTGTAATCTAAAAATGGGGGGGGGGGCAAGCAACTGTAGGTAGGTACGCGCACCTAACAATTAAGGGTTGGGATGAGTTGGTAACGTAAAATGGAGCATATGTGCGTATATATGCAGGGAGAGTGGGGAAATTTGTAAACGGGCGTAATCCAACTAATGGTGAATAATCGACGGTGCATGACAGCAAATTACATCGAGAAAATTTAAATCTATGCCAACAAACTTGCCTGCGCTTTTAAAATATATCCATGTAAACGCAATTCGTTAGTTGAAAAATCACGCGAAATACATAATTAGGGATTTGTGAATGCGTTGCGGTTACGTAAGTGCATGTGTGCGTACAAGTGCGCGATCGTAGCTCCGTTGCCTTCATGACAATTAAATTTGGATACTGCAACCAGTGGCGTAGTTAGAGGGGGCCGAAGATACCAGGAAGGCCATGGTCCCCCCCTTGTTGATCCGAAAGTAAAAAAAAACATAAAAAAATAAGAAAATTGTTCTACTAAAAAGAAAATTGTCGTAGTCAGAATGAAGGCATGTATATATACTCAAAAGTGCCTCAAATGCCATCTCCTGCAATCTACATTTTTAAAATTTTCTGGGGGAGGACCCCCATACCCTCCGCCTGTTTTGACCCCCCTCCTTCGAATCCTAGATTCGCCACTGAACAATTACATATCTTGGGAGCAGAGAACAACAAACAAAAATGTCGCCTTTTCGCATGGCGCCCAAAACAAAGATTGCAGAGCTGAGATGTGGGGAGTGTAGGGTGTGGAGAGGGCCCGCCCCCCCCACTCAGTGTTATTTAGGGTACGCATATGCTCGTTCCCTTCCTTTGAAAGCACCCCCTATCTCAGGACTGCTTAAATTTCTGAACCTCCTTTTCGCGGGCTTTTTGCGGGTTTTTCCTGCCTTGGAGACCCCCTAAATCCGGAACACTGCTCAATGTACCCCCTATCTCAGGTGAGCTCTCATTCCAACCGTAGTGACGTTAGTGTAGCGTGTGGAACTGTCGAAACAGTCTACACTACGTAGAAAAACACCCCCTTTTTAAAGAAATCTCCGGGTGAAAAGTCAAATACACCCCTTTTTTTTTACAATTTTTGGGCCGGATTTTGTCGCGCGAAAAATACCCCTTTACCGGAGATTTTGGGAACGCGCATGCGGTCCCTCTGACCTCGGAGTGGGGGGCCGGGGGAGAGGGAGGCGGAGGAACCATTAAAATCATCCACTATTTTGCGCAGTTCGCTGTTTTTGCCCCCCTTTGTTAAAAAATCCTGGCTACGCCACTGACTGCAACGTACTACAACAGAAAAAGAAACAGAAACTAACTCATTTTTACTTAGGAGGAGTGCAAAGTCACGTGCGGGTTGTACTTTGGGTAGTTGATGGTGGAATTCGTTAGTCTACATGCATAGATATTATTATACAAACATATTATCAAAAGCGTATAACATGCATAGATATTATTATACAAACATATTATCAAAAGCGTATAAAGAATGCCTTCTTTATATTATACATATAAAGCTTTTGATCTTGATATTATATAAATAAGCCTGTGATAGAACCTCGAGTACTCAATTTTGATTGGCTGGTAAATGTTTGCATCCGGGTGAGCGCTGTATGTGTTCCGGCGGCTGTGGTTTTATCGCTTGGTCCCTTTTTAATTTGAAGAGGTGAATATATATATACTAAGTTTATGCCTTATAAGTAAAAACATGTCTAGTTGTGGCTTTTGTGATCATCTATAATGTAGCATTATTTTAGATGGTTGGGTGTTTCTAAGTAAGGAAACACTAAGTAAAATTACGTCGTTTCTATTGTTTACAGTTGACTGGAGCCTCATCACATTCACATCACTTGATCATTGATGCCCACTCCACGCCAAGGTAGGCCTATATTTACGGTAACCTACTACTACTAGTAGTGTCTTTATTTTATCTAACGTCTGTAACTATATTCACATTAATGCTTTGCAATCAGGTTTAATATTATATCATTTGGTTAGTTGGTACATTACACAATCATTGACGTGAGTGAGTACCAGGTCCAGGT